TCCTGCTGAATTACAAAATCCAGTCCTCTCTCAGGATCTTTACAGCCTTTCTGTGGACATAAATGAAAGTCAGCTACCAGTTACATAGCTCAAGATTTCAAATAGGAGATCTATCCAAAGATTACTCTGCTGTGTAAATATTTCAGACTTTTAATTTCTCCATATAGTCACAATTTCTGAAAAAGAACTTTCACATCTTCCTCTGCAAAGAAATTGTTCTGCAATAGTGTGGTCAGGCTTGATTCAGATATAGGTGTGCACTTAAGAAGCCCTAGGCATCTACTTAGCTTTCCTATATCAGATCATTTAATTCCTGGAAAGAGGTATACATCAACAATATTTCTGGTTCGTTATGGGTCTAGTATGCAAGTAATACTATTAAAGAATTTTTGCTTTCATTTTATCCTTTATCACAGCATCTTTAACACTAAGTCAACAGAAAATTATGCCTTTCATTACTGTTCAACAATTAAAGGAGAGCAGTTGCATGAATCCATAAAAATATCTTACCCCAAGATAAGCAGGTTACAAGCAAGGAGTCCCTTCTAAGAAGCTCCCAATCAATTCCCAATCAATCAGACCATATTTATAGGTCTTTAAGATCATCTCCCCATAACAGCTAACTGTCCCACTTGAGAAGTCTGCATATTCTTGGCTAATTATCTTATAATTTTAAACGCCATACAATATTATCCATACTTCAGTATCTTCTTACTGTTAGTTCATTCTTGCTACTTATCATAGTAGAGTCTATGTGTGATTACAAGTTTCTCACACATATGAATATCTGTTGGCCCTCAACCAATACACCTGATATTTGAATGATAGCTTTGCTTTTCTGAACTTGGAAATTCCTGCCATTCTCAGATACTTCTGCACCTTGGCCTTAACATAGTACCTTTGATATTGGTTAGATGAGGGGTCTCCATTGTGATGCCCATGGGTGCCATGGTGCCCATCAATACTGTTCCTGGCATCTGCCGGGTGTTTTTAGAAAGTGGACAGGGCCAGGTGAGTCTTCTTCCCAGCAAGGTTTCTGATTGGCTGTGCAGATTTTTAAAAACCTTGCTTTGGCAGCCGCCGCCAGCACAGCATAAGGCTCTTCACTGTGTAACTAAAGGTAAACTATGAAAGACATTTTGTGGCTGGCTCTGCCTCCTGCAATGGCCATTTTGTGGTTATGCCCATCATGCTGTGTCAGAATTTCAAAGGTGCCCTCAGGTTGGGAACCTCTGGATTACATGGTTCGTAATCTACACAAGGCCATATTATTGTGTCCCTCCTATGTTTCTTGCTCCTTTCCAAGGCTATTACGTTCCTTTTAGGCATGTTTAGCGGAAAGGCTAGGTCAGCTCTTTTTCTGGTGTACAAAAACATCCTCCCTGATCTTTTTGGTCAAGTCCAGCAACTGTTCCCCTATATTCCTGGCCATATCCGTGACAAGAGGCACAAGGAGCATACTGGGAGCTTGTTCATCTCTTCAATCAAAGTTCAATTCTGGACAGAAAATACCAGAACTCACTAGCCATGGGATCTGCTCCAGGAGACAGCACAAAGATCAGAGGAATTGTAGAATTTGAATCCAGGTAGCTTTTTGTAAGATCGAATGGTGGTGGCTCAACAAATTTCTTCCCAAGTTTGTCAGTCACGAAGGTGGTTATAGCTGGTGTAATCTATTTTAAAATACATTTCCACACAAAACAGAGTTTGGTTGTAAATCTAGTTCATGTCACATATTACAGAGTACAAAAACAGTAAATATTTAGGTACCTGTAAAATAAATTCTGCAGTCTGTGGTTGCAATCCTAATTAGATTTATGCCATTTATATCTACAGGGTTTTTACTCATTTTATTTACAATTTTTCATTTATGAAACAGAGAATTCTCCACTTAGTTTAAGTGGCAGTCACATAAAATGGTTTTTTCCCTGTCATTACATTGTTCAGTCAGACAGATCTGGTCTGTCTATCCTTGTTAATATGGAGAGAAAATTTATCGTTCACTTTGTATTAGGGCAAAGTCTTTCCACCCACATGTCCTAATCTGTATTGGCTTGGTTAGTTCATGCCTAATGGTCTCCACAGACAGCTCTCAGTGCCAAAGTATACAGTATTCCCTTGGTGTAATGTATTACAGAATTTGCACTGAAATTCTAGCCAACAACAGGAAGCTATGCTTTGATTATGTTATTGATTACAAAATTATTTTCATATATATTACCTTGTCAGGTCTCAGACATCGAAGAATAATCATCTTCTGTATTTCATTCAAATTTACATCCCATGGTCTTGGTAAGGGAACAGTCTGAGGTTCTTTATGGTCATATATTTTGCGCCAATCATTTATTTGTGAAGCAACATGATTCCTAAAAAAATGTAAAACAAAAGTGCCCAGAGTTCAGCTTTTCACATATACTGTCTCTTGGAGATGTCAGCTGTTTTCAGAATACATAGTACTTGCATGCCTGCATAATGATGTGCTATGCCACACTTCTGCAAGTTGTATGACACTTTCGCAAACCCCTTTCCTGATCACTGCTAGTCCAAGGGTCCCTACCCAGACAGTGTTCTGCTGGTGGTCAGACCATCAATTTATTTGATGGTTTTCCTCTCCTGTAGGGACCTAAAACGGCTTACAACATTGTTCTCCCCGCCTTCATTTTCTCCACCCAACCACCACCTTGTGCCCGGCTGAAGGTCACCCAGTGAGCTTCCTTGGCAGAGTGCGCATTTGGATCTAGAGTCCTCAGATCCTAGTTTGACACTTTAACCACGGTACCACTTTGGCTCTCAGTTGTACAATAATCAGACACTCAAGTCCTAATCTTGATGCCAAATGCTGCTAGTATAATTAAATCAAAAGAAACAGTGGACCTGCTACTGTTGTGCCAAAATAGCAATGGCAGCCCTCAGTGCCTACAATGGAAAGAACCTCTTTTTAAAAATACTTCCTATTGTATTTTTGGTTTTAGTGCTATCACTGCTACGTGGAGCCATTTTATAAGTACCGAAACAGTGCACAGAAATCAATGGGCTTAGAAAAGTAAAATTCTGCATACGATTTTACTTTAAATGTACTAATAGAATCAGCACATGGAGAGCAGTAATCAAATGTGGAAGCTCAGGAATGGCACTTGCAATTCCCAGTGTACAAAATAGGTCCTGATTTGCTTCTATTTGTGGTTTCCATCACTTGGCAAGTACCTTTATTAAAAAGCAGCAAAATGTTTTTGTTATATAGAGAATAAAGAGAGCAATATTAGTTCAGTTTCTATTAAACTGATGAGAATGTAAATGATCAAAGGTTTCTAGCCATTTCTGATAAAACTGTTCTTATCTTAGGAGAGCAGTGATGAGTTAAAGCCTAAATATGGAGGGGATTGGAAACTGAATTTCATGGGATGGTCTCTTACCCAGATCCATTCAGGATTATATGTGTACCCCTCCAGGCTCTGGGCCAGTTTTAATTGATTTACAGTTCTTTCCTATGCAGAGGAATGAGCATAGGAATGCGCTACCTGATGCCACAACTGTAGCAGGTCATTCACAGGAGTTTATCAGAACAGTCTTATCACATTGGAAGATTTCTGAGGTATTTTTGTTTTTGTTTCTTTCCAACAGCCCAAGGATGTGTACAAACTATCTGGATAGGGGCAGCCTTCCAAATATATGTTCAGCCTTTGCCCATCGTAACATCTGACAAATGCCCAGAGGGAAGCACTTGTTTGGGTCTTCGATGCAGTGAGTGCTTGACTGAGAGAGCAGAAGGTCCCTGTCACCTTCAAGCAGGCTGTCATACAGCTCTCTTGAAGCAGTATCCTTGAACCTGGAGGAGTTGAGCAATTATCACCTGATAGTGTTAACTGTTTTAAACTACTCTAAAGATTCTATGTGTCCAGGAGCACAACTGACCATTTTGGACTTTTGTTTCCTTCTTTTTCTTTTTTAAAGCACTTTTTGTTGGTGGTCCTATCCTGTTGTGCTAATAGTCACAGGACACCAGGTGTCCATCAGACTCCTAAATCAAGTTGTGTGGCAGAAGGTTAGGAAGTGTTAGGAATACCCGACCCAAGATACTGAAATACTTTACTATGTTCATGTTCTCCCAAAAAATTGTCTAAATTACCGTAGTGCTTTAAAAGAAGGCATATCACTTGCACGACAGATTTCATCCCAGCTTTTATCTTGTAGCCAAGATGGGTCTGGATTCTTATATTTGCTCTTGAGGCCTACTCCTCCGGTTAATAAGAACATAAATTCTTGATGTTCTATTTCTTTCTTAGCCCTATGTTAAAAATGAATGAAAAAGTATCTTATAAGTTTATTATGTTTCTATGTAAAATGTAAATATTTCTTGGTTTATAAAACGATTCCAGAAAAAAGGGCCTCTTACATGAGGAGGTTACAGCACAGTAAAAATGAAAACAGAAGCTTATCTTTCTCAAACAGGGAACGGCAGACATTGCAGTACAAGTTGTATGTGAAATGGTCATTTAGGTATCGTAAGCGTTTTTCCAAAATTTTAGACTTGTTACTACAAAAAAGAAACAGATTTGGTCAGAAAACTGAGGCCCCCAAGAAGTCACAGTATCCCTATAATTTTGGAGATGAGTATAAGAATCCCAGAACCCTAGCCTACCTCATAGGGTTGTTATTGTGAGAAAATGGAGGAGGAGAGAACAATGTTCTAAGCTGGGAAGAAAAGCAACATATGCATATAAGTACATTCAAAAATGCAAGCATAACCCAGCCTAGAGAAGGCTGTCTAGGGGGCGAGATTCTAGGCCCCTGCATCCTCACTTAATTCAGGCAGGCCTGGATTTTTGGAGTGAGACAGCTGGCTAGGAGGTTGCTTGCTGCTTTATATTTTGTACTATAAACTGTTTTATAGTTAGATATTTTTGTGGTTCTGTATGTTCTTGACTAGAATGAATAGTGTTAGCATCCTTCTGTAACTGAACACAAGAAACCTGGTTCAAGTCCTTGTTTACCCAAAGACACATGGCTGGCCAGAATCAAGTCACCAGCCATCAGCTCTCCATCATTTGGGCCCAGGTGCAAACATTCTGCATCCCAAATCACTGAAATCCGTATACCAGTGTGGGTCCAAATGCAAACTGCATGGCAAAGCATCACTATACAATTCACCACTTGGCTGCTCATTTGGAATGAAAGCCAGTTTGGTGCAGTGGTTAAGAGCACGGAGTGTTCCCTCTAAGCTGTTAGTATGAGCTAGCTCACAGTTTTTTAGCCTCTGGCTCACACATTTTTGTCTTAGCTCAGGAAGGATGGCTCCAGAACAAATTATTTTATGCAGTAGCCAAATTCCTCGCTCACAGCTTTAATGCCAGTAGCTCACAAAGTAGAATTTTTGCTCACAAGACTCCACAGCTTAGAGGGAGCATTGGATCTGGAAGAACCAGGTTTGGTTCCCTACTCCTCCACATGGAACTGCTGGTGTGACCTTAGGACAGTTACAGAGCTGTTCTCTCACAAGCAGTTCTCGAAATAGCTCTTGAGCCCCACCTACCTCACAGGGTGTCTGTTGTGGGGAGGGGAAGGGAAGGAGATTGTACGCTGCTCTGAGACTCCTTCGGGAAGTGAGGGGTGGGGTATAAATCCAATCTCTTTTTCTTCTTCTTAATAATAATTAATTGCAATGCTTTCAGTCTACCCCTTCCTTGAAGGCCACTAGTAATAATAATTATGTATGTATATGTTTTTATACTCACACGTACACACATATACAGCAGCTGGTGAGCAAAACACTGTAAATAAGAATATTGTCATTGCTAACAAAATAAAATATTGTAAAGAACTAAAATTCATTTTTGAAAATGAAATGAAAACTATGGTGGAGCTCTGCAAGAATATTTGTAAATGCATTTTTAAAGAGAGGAAGGAGGACAAATATCTAGGAGCAAAATATAATTAGGTCATATGATGTTAGGTCATTTCGTTGCTCCGGAGGATGGTCGGGAGCCACGGAGCGAGCCAACACCACACAATGGGAACATCTGGAGTAATCTGGAATGTGCCATTGCTCAGTATACGTTCAGAGTGACGGAGCCGGTCTTGGTGGTGTTGAGGAGGCATAAGAGACCTTGAATAAGAGCAGGGATAGTACCCGCTTCAACGGGGTTCATCTGGAGACCAGTACTGATCGTCAGACAGCGATCCCAAAGGGGAAGGTGATGGATGATGAATGCAGAGCTTTTGGTCAAACCGAGACCGGGATCTAGAACGCTGGCTAAGAAAATGCTCCCTGCCCTCCAAACTGTGGATGGGAGTACAGGAGCTACGAGATAAAGATCAAGAATCCCGCTGAGATGATAAGTGGTGAGGTGATCTCGTAGACTGTCCCAGTGGGATGAGGCCAGACGCGAAGGACAAAGTAGGCAGAGGCGTTGGAGGCCGCAAACATGTCTTCTGAGAGGCGACAGCTACCACAGGAGTTGAGGTCACTAAACCAGTAATTACGACTGGATTGACAGTTGAAGTCAAAGCCGATGTCAAGGGCTTGGCCTTCGATTTTGAAGCAGCTTTATCATCGGGTTTCTTGGGTTTAAGTTTTGGTGCTTTAGAAGTTCCATCTGATTTTTGAGGGGGGGAAGAGTGAGAAGCGGCCGAAGACATGGTAGGGCATAAAGCCGACTCTAAAAGCAGAGCCCAAAGCCTAATTTCCCTATTACGCCGAGTTTGTCTAGTAAAACTAGCACAATGGACGCAGCTATCAACCCGATGGGAGTCTCCCAAACAGAGGAGACAAAAATCATGACCGTCATTAGAAGGTATCTTAGCTGGACAATGACGACACAATTTGAAAAACTTTGTTTTGCCCATACACTGTCTACCCCACTGGGGGGGGGGGAACGAAGAAAAAGTGAAGAAAAAGATCTTTTTTTTTATAGAACAGAGAAGAGACAAATGGAACAAGAAAACAAGGAAAGAAGAAGATGAACGAATATACTCAGCTGAGGCAAATACGGAGAGCAGCAGTAACGAGGTGTGAACATGAAGGTGGTAAAAAAAGAACTGAGTGGGAGGCAGCTCTCTCCCCCACTCCAGGCATGCGCAGTACGTGCCAGCTCCGCAGGGCAGGAAGAGAACCCGCCAAAAGTTTTCTGAGGCAAAGCTCTAGAGGTTTCTCCGATTGAGGTCGTGCGCAGGCGCCCAACCCATGTGTGGGACTGCACAGAGACCACGACGAAGATCATGACACATACAAAAAGCAGAATAATTATGAGGGGACCATCTAGAGACAATTCATAGTAGCATTTCATACCATACTCAGCAAATGCTGACACGCCTGCTTCGATTATCTCAAAAAGAATGGTGTTGCACCACTACTTCTGTGAACTGTGGCTGCTATGTCTATCATTAGGATCTGAGTGTTAGCCATTTTATACAATTGATTACATATTAAATTGGAAGTTGCTTACCTGTTGTTTCTTGGTAATTTCATTAGACATTACTTTGGCACAATCCAAAATCGTAATTGCACTTTCATCTTCCAAAATGTTCCCTTCAGAAGACTGTAATGTTTCTAAAATCTTTTTCTCTATGTCTTTTAGTTGTTTATTATTGGCAGCTGACTGGAGGATAAGAGCATTCCTTTCCTCCTCTAATTCAGGCCTAAAAACAAACCCAATCTTACTTACTTTGCTACAGTTACTACAAAAAAAATTACTATGTTTCACTGGCAGCCTGTAGCTATCAGGCAAAATTTTTAGTATAACACGAACAATATATTTTTAAAGTGTTATCTTTGGTATTTGTAGAATGATGAGGATCTCAAAACTATCAAAACAGCCATTAATGTCACTTGTAGCCTTTTCACTGTTAGCCTTTAATCACAATGTTAAAGTCCACGTTTGCTTTAACCAGAGTATAACCGGAGTACAGGCAATTACATATACATTAGGTCTGCCAACCTCCAAGTGGCACCTAGAGATCTCCTACTTTTACAATTGATCTCCAGGTGACCAAGATCAGTTCCCATGGAGAAAATAGCTGCTTTGTAGGGTGGACTCTATGGCTTTATAAAGTCCCCTCCCCAAACACGATCCTCCCCAGGCTCTACCCCCAAAATCTCCCTGTACTTTCCAACCCAGAGGTGGCAACCCTAATATTCATGCAAAGGTGACTATATGCCATATATCCCACTGAACGCCTAAAGTTCATTTGCCTTCTCCTTTCTCTAAGCAAAATGCACAGGTACATTAGGGTTCCAAAGCATTTAATTTTCAATATGTCATTTGGTTTGAGATGCTACTTAAAAGCTGTTCAGATGATAGTTGGCCTGTTCCTGAAACACTGCGTGTTTTGCGTTCTGGAGTGTGTCTCTCAGACAAACATCCTCCCTCCCTCATCCAGACTCCAGCTGAAGGCTTAGATTGCCAGGACAGGAAGATCCAATGCTGAAACAAGCACAGTATGCCCTCATCCAGACCTTAAACTCTACAAAAAGTGAGTAGGACAGCAGGAGAGGAAAAACACAAGACTTATATCCTTTCTGGCTCTTGCCATGCACAGGGGCTTTGGTTAGGGGAGAGTAGGGCCTGAATGGGCTGAATCTAGTAACCTGGTGTGCATTTGTACTGGCATTTTTGTATAGTCTGCTACTGAACGCCGGCCACAAGGTAAGGCCACAATCAATACTGCAACCCCTTACCTATCACCCTTATTCTCTGATTAGCCCTTCACTTTGATATTTTATGACTGACAAACTTGTAGCTCATTAAAACATTCTCTGCAGTCCGCCTTCTGTATTTTGGGATACAAATGAATTTTATAAATTCTTCCAGATAGTATGAACACTTACCTCTCCTTTGCAACAGCAATACCTAGAAGCTGGTCTTCAAGTCCTTCTGGAGTTATCATGAAGTTGAGCAAAGAAACCTTTGTGGCTAATTCAGGCAAATAATGTGGATTTCTTAATTTGGTAGTAATATAAAATTTGAAATCAAAGGAATATTCAATAATTGTTTCACCAAGCCGAATACAATCCATGCCTCCTAATGTTGAAAAATCAAACATTTATATTTATTCACTTTTCCTGAGTACACAAGAGCATTAGTTCTACAATCAGGTGGCAGCAAAATTAAACTGCTAGTACTAAATGTGATAGACAAGGTAGTTCAGTGGACCTTTATCATCACCTTTCTTGATGTTTATAAGGAAAGAAAAATTTTCTTTTCCAAGAAGTTAACTTTTTGATGGTAGCAATAATTTCTCAGATAAACTCAGACCTGCACAGGAAAGGCAAATGGAGGAGTCCATTGAAGCAACCTAAAATGTTCCCCAATGCCACAAGGCTTATTTTCTTATTCAGGGATACTAAAATAAAATACACATTGGATGGAAGTCACGGAGCACCCACCTGTGGGGAAAACAAAGGACTCTAAAAGTTTTCCCCCCCTGGTTTCAGGCTGAGTCTAGTTAGTGCCTAAAAGAAGGGCTTACTCTTATTTTGCTTTGGAATTAGCAGTTCCTATGTCTGCTGATCGAATACAATAATACTAATTCATCTTGTAAATCTGTAAATGAATAGTTTCTATAATGACAGCATGCATTTCCAGTGCTCTCTTTAATGTGACTTGATGCAAAAGCAGAAAAGGGCCTCTTTATCTTTTAATACCTTTGTAGAAGAGGTGATTTTGGCTTTGCAGAGAAAGTTCCTCTCCTATGCGTTAAGTTTCTTTTCCTATTGATCATTCTAGCTTTCTTCTAAAACGAACTAACTCTGATTTGGATTTGGAGTGCAAAACAATATAAACCACGGTAGACTGCTAATATGTATTATCTATGGTGTATGGAATTTTTAATTAACATAGGATTATGACTTTTGTATTTAAATCTGTTACAATTACAAGGCAGTATACAGTTACAAGGCAGTATAGTCAAAAGATATTACAGAACAAGAGATCAAAAAGGCTATTCTCATATTACCTTCCTCTGACGCTGGGCAGCAGTAGTTAAGGAACAGAAAGAAAAATATTAACTGAGACAACAAAACGATCAAGGAGAATCAAATGCATAGGTTAGAGTTTCTCTACCTTTCTCATACCTTGCTTAAAAGTTTGCTTAAGCAGCAGGGGCTCCAGCGAAGGGTCTATCTCTTCCCCAACATTTTCAAGCAGAAGTGGAGTTCCAAACTGAATGCAGTTTTCTAGAGTTCTCATGTAGTCTGTGTCTGTTAGCTTTATGACACTCAGCCTATTTTCTTTTTCAGAATTTTTAATCCATTTATTTGCTTGACCTTGTGGATCAATCATTAATGGCCTACAACATAATAATCATACATTATTATAAAGGTGGAATCCTTAATAAGCTTGTGGCACCAGGGAAGGGCGAGCTGCCTTTAAGAGATCAACATGAGAGCCCAGCTGGAGGCAGTAAGCCTGTGGCTCGAGTACGGCTGGAAGGTCACCGGTTGGGTAGAGAGTGGGTACTGGGAGCTGGAGCCACAAAGTCATACCTCAGGCCACAAAGTCAGGAGAGGGCATGCTTCGGACCCCTCCCAGGCTATCCAGGTGCAAGACCAGCTCTAGGGGAGGATTTAAGGGCGGCTGCATTGAGGAGCCAAATCGCAGAAGACACCTGAGCTGGAGAATGTGAGGCAACGAATGAGACAGCAGCATTGGTGTGGGGCAAGGAGCCTAGGCAGCCAGGTCAAGGGAGTGCTGGAAGAACCCTGAGGGTGACCCCTATGTATGCTGAACCCTTGAATAAAGCTTATTATTGCAAATCTGCCAGGAGTCTGCGGGTGAGTGCTTATGGAAAATAGAAGGCCAACTGCTCCGTAGTTTGCTGAAGCCCTCCCCACTAGCTAGACCAGGGGGCTGGCCCAACACTGAACGAGCCCCAGCAGCTGCAGAGCTATTTGCAAAAATTGTCAAGGTCAATATATGGACTCTTTGTAACTTTAAACATTGTGCCATGGCTATGTTTTTCAAATCTAAATCTACCTAGATTTACAGTGCAGTCCTAAACAGGCCTATTCAGAATCCTACTCAGGCCTATTCAATAGGGATTACTTACAGGGAAGGGTTTGCAGGATTGCACTGTACGACTGTTACAATGCTATTTAAATTAATTTTAAGTAATTTTTTTTTTTCTGGGGGGAAAACTCCTTGTTTAGAAGTTTTTTTGTTAGGTCTTGGGTTTCTCTAGTTACAATGCAGAGAAAAGATAAATGATGGAAAGGCACCAGTTAGAATGAAGAATGTCTGTTAAACTAAGAGAACAATCCTCATCAGAATCAGGTCTATTCAGAATCATACTCAGGTCTATCCTGTATGGCTTACTCCCAGGAAAGTGTCCTTTAGGGTTTCCATTCCCCTGACAGGGGTGGGGGTTTACATGCCGATGTGCCCAGAAGTGACATCATCACGCTGGGCATGTTGCAGGGGGGACGCTCAGTCATTTAAGGAAAAACCATTGAGTTTTTACTTAAATGATAGAGCGTCCCTTGCAACGTGCCCTGTGCGATAACGTCACTTCCAGGTGATGTCATTGCGGCCCATGTGCTTCATGCATGCACTGAAGATCTTCAGGACTGGGAACACACACACACCCCGCTGGCAGCCAGGTAAGACCTGGCAACCCTAATGTCCTTATTAGATCGCTGACACTGAGTTGGGAAACTCCTGGAGATCTGGGTGTCGAGCCTGAGAACGGCAGGGTTTGGGAAAGGGAGGGATATTGGGAATATTGTACCCTTCAAACCACCCATTTTCTCAAGAGGAACTGATCTCTGTAACCCAGAGATCAGTTCCTCTTGAGAAAATGGGTGGTCTCTGTAACCCAGAGATCAGCTGTAATACTGGAAGACCTACAGATGCCAGCTGGAGGTTGGCAACCCTAGGATTGTACTGTTTATCTCACCTGTGTGACCTAGAAAGGATCCTCAGGCTGCACTCCCCTCAGATCACTGCTGGTGTCTGCTGAGTCATGCAGCCTGTATGATTGGGGGGGGGGACAAAGTGCACAGTGTGGAGTTGAATGGGATGGGGTAGAAGTAATGAATGCACAAGGGATACTGAACATGTTCTATAATGACCCCTTCTCTCATGCTTGATATGTTTGGCTCTACAATATTGACACATATATACACAGTAGTCTATATCAACACTGATTATGTGTTTGGTATTATGGAAGACTGGGTTTTTTACTGTACAAAGGTATGTTTTTAATACATTCTAACATTTTAAATATATTTTTGTGTCTTATTTTTAAATGGTGAATATACATTTGTTCAGCTTTTCTTAGTCTGCGGGTGAGTGCTTATGGAAAATACAAGGCCAACTGCTCCCTAGTTTGCTGAAGCCCTCCCCAACAGCTAGACCAGTGGGCTGGCCCAACACTGAATGAGCCCCAGCAGCTGCAAAGCTATTTGCAAAAATGGTCAAGGTCAATATATGAACTCTTTGTAACTTTAAACATTGTGCCATGGCTATGTTTTTCAAATCTAAACCTACCTAAACAGTCCGCAGTCCTAAACAGGCCTATTCAGAATCCTACTCAGGCCTATTCAATAGGGATTACTTACAGGGAAGGGTTTGCAGGATTGTACTGTACGACTGTTACAGTGCTATTTAAATTAATTTTAAGTATTTTTTTTTCCTGGGGGGAAAACTCCATGTTTAGAAGTTTTTTTGTTAGGTCTTGGGTTTCTCTTGTTACAATGCAGAGAAAAGATAAATGATGGAAAGGCACCAGTTAGAATGAAGAATGTCTATTAAACTAAGAGAACAATCCTCATCAGAATCAGGTCTATTCAGAATCATACTCAGGTCTATCCTTTAGGGTTTCCATTCCCGATTTCTGTCGTGGCGGAATCGGGCCCCAGGGGGAACTCCGCCCCCTGAAGCTGCGTCACCAGAGGTGACGCAGCCACGTAGCTCACGTTGGGGGCGTGGCCCAGATTGTCGGGGGGGAAATCATATGGTTTCCCCCCGACGATCTGGGCCACGCCCCCAACGTGCTCTACGTCATGCGTCACTTCCTGTGACGTCCATCAGCAGCTCCCGGACCAAAGCGGAGCTCCCCCGCCGGTGAGTAAGAAAGACTTGGCAACCCTACTTCCAGGTAATGTCATTGCGGCCCATGTGCTTCATGCATGCACTGAAGAACTTCAGGACCGGGACACACACACACCCCGTTGGCAGCCAGGTAAGATCTGGCAACCCTAATGTCCTTATTAGATCGCTGGCACTGAGTTGGGAAACTCCTGGAGATCTGGGTGTCGAGCCTGAGATTGGCAGGGTTTGGGAAAGGGAGGAACATTGGGAATATTGTACCCTTCAAACCACCCATTTTCTCAAGAGGAACTGATCTCTGTAACTCAGAGATCAGCTGTAATACTGGAAGACCTCCAGATGCCAGCCGGAGGTTGGCAACCCTAGGATTGTATTGTTTATCTCACCTGTGTGACCTAGAAAGGATCCTAAGGCTGCACTCCCCTCAGATCACTGCTGGTGTCTGTTGAGTCATGCAGCCTGTATGATTGGGGGGGGGGGGACAAAGTGCACAGTGTGGAGTTGAATGGGATGGGGTAGAAGTAATGAATGCACAAGGGATACTGAACATGTTCTATAATGATCCCTTCTCTCATGCTTGAAATGTTTGGCTGTACAATATTGACACATATGTACACAGTAGTCTATATCAACACTGATTATGTGTTTGGCATTATGGAAGACCGGGTTTTTTAGTGTACAAAGGTATATTTTTAATACATTCTAACATTTTAAAAATATTTTTGTGTCTTATTTTTGCTTGGTGAATATACATTTGTTCAGCTTTTCTTTTCCATAATAAATCTGATTTTCTGTTTGGCAATGCTGTCCCTCTTCTAGGTACATGGCACATGCCTTGAACATCCCATCTTCATCATTTCTTTTGGCATTTTTTTTGCCTTATGTCTCTCAATCTATTGTTCAGAGTTTTCTAAATGTATAGTTTACATAGAATGAGTCCCAAGGAGAACAACATATAGTTTACATAGAGTGAGTCCCAATGAAAACACAACAATCAAATTAATTACAATTTAAGATCAATAAAACTACTTCAGAAAGAATGAAGGAGAAAAGCTATACAGCAACAAATAAAATCTATACTAGATTACTGCAATGTGCTCTATGGGGAGCTGCCCTTGAACACTGTCCAAAAGATACAGTTGGTAGAGAATGCCACAGAGTGTTGACTGGAGTGGGTAGGAGGGACATATGACTCCAATCTTGTTCCATCTACACTGGCTTCCAGTTTGCTTCTGGGCTCAATTCAAGGTGCTGGTATTGACTTTAAAGCCCTGTACAGCCTGGGACCGACATATCTTAATGACTGCCTCGTCCTGACTCATACACCCCAGCCATCTTTATAGGCTATGCTTTGGTTGTCCCCCATCTGAATCTTTACAGGTAGCAACCAGAGAAAGGGCATTCTTGGTCGTGGCACCAAAACTTTGGAACTCCCTCCCTAGGGAAATTCATCCGTCTCCCTCTATCAGTGTCTTTCACCAGCAGGTGAAGACTTTTTTGTTCTGTCTGATGTAACCCCCAAAACAGTTACTGGCCCTCCTTCTAGTGTTGTTTATGTATATTTAATTTAATTATTTTATAATTTTAATGGTATTTTAAATTATTTAAATGTTTTAATGTTTGTGGACTCTGATCAAGAGGAAAGGTGGCATAAAATGTTTTCGGTAAATCAAATACATAAAAATCAGAAGAAACCATAGCAGCACATTAACCACAAAGGCTTGTCTCAAGAGCATTTAGAGCATGCTTAAGGGACATAAAACCCCAAATATAATCAGGGAACTGATTTAGTAATTTGGAAACTAGTAGAGAGAACACCCATTTTACAGTGGCTTCCATAACAGATCAAAAGACCATCAAAATCTTAATGGCAGGAAGGTACATATGGCCCCAGTCTTTGAACAGTTCTAAAGGTAAGCACTAGCACCTAAAATTTAGCCCCAAAACAAATAGGTTATCAGAGAAGCTCACACAAAATTGATGTTGCTTGTTCTTTATGACTAATAACAGATATCAGTTGGATCTACTGAGCCTGCCAAAAAACCTTCAAGGGAAGCCCCACACATTCCAACATGGAATTATCTGGCATATAAAACAGTTGACAGTTTCCTCAGTCTCAGGAAGAAGTGTACTCTGTGAAGTAATCAAAGCTGATAAAAATACTTTTAACTATTTCTTCAACCTGGATCTGGAAGCTGAACTTATTATTACTGAAAGAATGTGACTCCCTTCAAGACAGGCAATTCCACTCGTCCACTGATACTAGGACAGTGAACCATGAAAAAATTTATCTTGTCTGGATTAAGTCTCCATTTATTCATTGTTATCCAGTCGTCTTCTACACAGTCTTTCATGGACAAACCTACCATAGCAAGCTCGGACAGAAAGGAGAAAAAGAACTGGGTGTCATTAGTATCTCAAAAAGAAAACAGAAACAGAAATAGAGAAGAGAAAGATAAGCAATCAGGATATAGAAATCAGTTGTTAGTGCAGAAAGTTTATTTAAGATTGTTTTAGCAAAATATTAGTTTTTTGTTACCTACCAACGCCTAGAGTTGTTAACAATCACACCGTTGTCTATGGAAAACTGATCTGTTGGAAGCCCTGCAATATTCCAGGCTCTGATTTTTATTGGATCACCAAGTGTCTTACTCAGAGAGAAGTTCTCAGAACAAGGAATATTTTTCTCCTGCAAGAACAGATATATTTTTAAACAGTCTTAAATCAACTAGCAACTTCTACTTAGCAGCAGAAGTGGAAAGGACAAACTGGCAAAGATTTCTCCCAAATTGCTTCAGTGTTTATGAGTATGTTTGGCCTATTAGGCACTTTTGGGGTTACTTTGTGTACTAGGATTGTTTTGCTTTAGTCTGAGTTACAGCCAAATCCACATTTAAACATACAGGGTTGTGTGTGCACAAAAACAAATACTGTGTAGATTTTTCAGGGCTGAAAAGAGCAATCTAGGTGCTGCAGAAGTTTAAACATAGCCTTGGCCATAGTTTTCTTGAATACTACATAGATAATAGGTTGGATCCAAAGTACCACCAGTGGAGCAAAGTTGTGGGTTGGAACCGTCCCCCCACCCCCTCCCACTGGGACCTCTGAAATCCTGGAGTCAGGCAAACCTCACAAATAGTGCAGGGAGTTGGCAGTGGGGCATACAGTGGGAAGGGGCAAATCAGCAAAAAGCGCACAACAAAAGTAATACAATTCCATTTTTGTAAGTACAACTCCATCAGCTGACCCAGCTGAGCTCTGAGAAGCAGCAGGAGACAGAGCCGCTGGAGGGGTGAGTGTTTTGCTTTCAGCTGAGGTGAGTTAGCTGAGGGTACTGTGTGGGAGGACTGTG